AAAATCTCTGTCTTCTTCTTTCTTGCAGTGCTGATGAAGGAAATCTTGGGTTCCCCCAATTACCAGGTCAAGGATACTCTTTTCATAGCTTTCGAACAAACACATACAAACTGAGCTTTATGGAGAGTCCCTCTGGGATTATGGTGGAGTTTCTTTCTCTTATATGCGTTCTTCATTTTTTTATTTGCATTAACATGGTTGCATTTTGTTGAGCGAAATTCATTCTCTTTCTCCTATTTGTTTTCTCTGTCTCTTTCGATGTAAACTTCCTCAAAAAAAGAAAAAAGACAAAGAGCTGAATGTACCTAGGCAATTTCCATTTACACCAGGCAATATCTAAACAAGTCTTAGACATGCTTAGCTGAAGTGCTCTCAGTCAACTATAGAGTAGCCATGTTAAATCTTTTTTAAATCAAATTTGAATTCTAACATCCTTCTCATTCGTTTGTGGCCCAATCTGCCATATTTATTTCCTCTTATTCCAATATGGATTTTTTTTCTAGCTGTTATGTGTATTGATTTTAACACCAAATGTTGTGACTGTTTGGGGGCATAACTTTTATTTATTTCTCAATTATAGTAGATAGTGTGTGTCTCTTGCAATTTTTTATCATTATTGATTTTTATTTATAGTTGTAAGATAGATTTTGAGAATTGGGCTTTGACAATCTCTGTCATCTTATTTCTTGCAACGCAGAATGAGGAAATCTTCGGTTGCCCCCATTACCAAGTTCAGGATGCTCTTTTCATAGCTTTCGAACAAACACATACAAACTGAGCTTTATGGAGAGTCCCTCTGGGATTATGGTGGAGTTTCTATCTATTATATGCATTTTTCAGTTTTTATTTGCATTAAAATGGTTGCATTTTGTTGAGTGAAATTCATTCTCTTTCTCCCATTTGTTTTCTCTTTCTCTTCCGATATAAACTTCCTCTAAAACAGAAAAAAGATAAAGAGCTGAATGTACCTAGGCAATTTCCATTTACACCGGGCAATATCTAAACAATTTTAAGACATTCTTAGCTGAAGAGGTCTCAGTCAACTATAGAGTAGCCATGTGAATGCTTTTCTAAATCAAATTTGAATTCTAACATCCTTCTCATTTAAGAATGGATTGGCTATGCATGGAAAATGGTTTGTGGCCCTGTTTACCATATTTATTTCCTCTTATTCCAATGTGGCTTCTTTTTTTTAGCTGTTATGTGTAATGGTTTTAACGCCAAATGTTGTGACTGTTTGGGGGCATAGCTTTTATTTATTTCTCAATTATAGTAGATAGTGTGTGTCTCTTACAATTTTTGATCATTATTGATTTTTATTTATATTTGTAAGATAGCTTTTGAGAATTGGGGTTTGACATTCTCTGTCTTCTTCTTTCTTACAGTGCTGATGGAGGAAATCTTGGGCTCCCCCAATTACCAGGTCAAGGATACTCTTTTCATAGCTTTTGAACAAACACATACAAACTGAGCTTTATGGAGAGTCCCTCTGGGATTAAGGTGGGGTTTCTTTCTATTATATGCATTCTTCAGTTTTTATTTGCATTAACATAGTTGCATTTTGTTGAGTAAAGTTCATTCTCTTTCTCCTCTTTGTTTTATCTTTATCTTCCGATATAAACTTCTTCAAAAAAAGAAAATAGATAAAGAGCTGAATGTACCTAGGCAATTTCCATTTACACCAGGCAATCTAAACATATCTTAGACATGCTTTGCTGAAATGCTCTCAGTCAACTATGGAGTAGCCATGTGAATGCTTCTCTAAATCAAATTTGAATTCTAATATCCTTCTCATTTAAGCATGGATTTGAATGCATGGAAAATGGTTTGTGGCCCAATCTGCCATATTTATTTCCTTCTAAATATGGCTTCTTTTTTTTAGCTGTTATGTGTATTGGTTTTAACGCCATATGTTGTGACTGTTTGGGGGTATAGCTTTTTTTTATTTCTCAATTATAGTAGATAGTGTGTGTCTCTTGTAATTTTTTATCATTATTGATTTTTATTTATATTTGTAATATAGCTTTTGAGATTTGGGGTTTGACAATCTCGGTCTTCTTCTTTCTTGCAATGCTGATGAAGGAAATCTTGGGTTCCCCCCATTACCAGGTCAAGGATGCTCTTTTCATAGCTTTCGAACAAACACATACAAACTGATCTTTAATGGGAAATAAAAAAACTCGGGGGAAATTTTATAGACTGTATATGGAAATAAACTTTATTTATTAGGACTCTATGTTATAAGGATGACTTAAATTTTTAATTCCTAATTTTAAAATGGCAAAACTTGTCAAAATATAGAAAGTCAGAATTGAAAAGACTAAGAAAGTGTATATTTATGTAAGAGTAAAAAGAGTAAGAAAATCCAAAAATTAAAATATCTTGATCCCCATATGCAAAAGGAAACGTTATTCTCAGAAAGGATATCTAATTTATGAAGAGAGGTTTCTAACAGAGAAAGATATACATGGAATCATTGTTCACTAGGACTCTAGTGCATAGTTACTGGGATGGGGAGCATTGAAAGATCCGCGAGTGGAAGCCTGGAGAATGGGATCAAGCAATGCTCAAAGATCTATAGTTGAGGGATCGAGGTCCGTACATCGTGTGGTAAAAGGATCGAGATCCCCAACATATAGGGAGCGTGATTTAAGTTTGTCTAGGATTGAACGACAAAGCATATGGGATTCGGGTCTGTGAAGCTTAGAATCAAGGCTCCACAAGGGCACTTAACTACAGTACTCGAGTTTGGGAACACTTCCAATATGAGGATTCAAATCTCAGTGTCCCTGTCCTTGTTTTCCCTCCTTTGGGTTCTTTCACTTAGATGACATTGAAATATGGTCGACGAGAGGGCAAAGGTATCTTATCTTTCACTCTTTCTCTCCCTCTCTTTCATATTGTTAATGCTAAAAATGAAAATCTTTTGTATTCTGTTTCTTGTTGCGCTTTCTCTCAAAAAGTGGTGGGCTATGCCATCACAGCTTCGCATTCACAATGTTAGCGACCCCTCTTTCTCTCTCTCAAATATGAACACATTGGGGAGTTGAAACTATCTCATTCTCGCTAAATTCCTTGATGAGGTACACTGTTATTTGTCTCATTCTCCCCCTACCCCTCCTCCCTAATGAGAGATGTACTGGACCTAGTGAATTAGCCTCTAGGAAGTTAAGCCTATCAACTGCAACTTCTTTCTTTGCTTATAGTACCGCAACTCGTCTCTCCTTACTATCTTCTTTTGTCTTCTTCCTTCTCTCTTCCTGCTCTCTCTTGTTGCCTTTCTTTGAAATTATTCACAAGGCACAACACAAGGTGTGTAAATTGTAATTGTAAAGTATATAAGAAGTCAAGGCCTTTACATAAATTGTGGTCGTAAAAAACTAAAGAACATTCCTAAGTAGGGATCTGTGTCAAATTGTCTATAGCTTGTAGTTTAAACAAAAGAATTGCCATTCACAACTACCAATGTTTCAAGAAGCACTAGGCGGCCCTTAGGCAGCCTTGGTGCCCAGCGTTTAGGCACTAGGCTGGCTCCAAAACCTCAAGCACCTTGAGGTGAAAAATTTCATATATATGCTGTTCAAAAGCACATATATGCAAATATTTTTATTAATTTTGTACTTATATGTATTCTAATTGGCTTTTCCATGCAAATATATATGCATGAATGTTGAAACATGTTAAAAAATTCAATTCATTGAAAATTTAGTGAAAAAAGTCAAAAACATGAACAAGTCCATGGTGTATTAACCTTCAGTTATCCAATCCAAATTGAGTATGGCATACTCCATACTGACACATGAACACGACGACAACTAGATTAAGATGAAATACAAAAGAGAAGTACAAAACTAGTAGTCCAATAATGAAAATTGAAATACAAAAGAAGAGAGAGGAGGTCTTTCTTTCTTCATAATTTGTTCTTTGTTGTTTTTTGATATATTTCGAGCTAGAAATCACCTCAAAAGTCTTCAAATACCGTCACTTGCACCCCAAAAAATGTTCCACCAATAAAGGCTAAGCTTTTGGGTGTTTCCTCAAGCCTCAAATTCTTTTTTCGATTCACAGAAAAAGTTATAATTTGATTTTTTTATTTTTTATTTTTTTTATTTTCTTTTATTTTTAATTTTTGGGGTTTAAAACACCCCCAATGTTCTTTTATAAAATTTTGTGGGTCAAAATGACCTAAAGTGATCTTGAGCCCACTTAAATTACAAACAAGGGGGACTAGAATCAGGTGCCCGCTTTGGCATGCCTAGGTAATGGCGCCCAGGCCTGGGTGTCCACCCAAAAGCCCTTTTGATGCCTAGGCATCGGGTGGACCTTTTTCTAGGACAATGATAACAACTAAAATATGTTGGTCATCAATGCTCCATTGGAAATGATCTCCAAGTGTGTCGATAACCGTACTCCCAATGTAGAAGAAGCTTAGTTCCTAGTTAGACGAGGATCGAGTCTAATTGAACATGGACCAATGATTTGGATAAGAGGTATCTTGATCCCATTAACTAGCATTCTCAATCCACAATTTTGTGGATTGAGATCCCTAAAATAAAAAGTGCCTAGAATTGAGATCTCCTCCCAGAGCACATGATCTAGCTTCTGGAGCTGGAGTGACCACCTCCTTGGGAGATCCCGACAATTATGCCCAAGTGTGCAAGGAGTTTCCTACTTTGCAAGGAGAGGGGAAAAGATCAAGAGGCTATGGTAAGTCAAATAAATTTGACTGCCTTCATTGTGTGCTTATTACACAAACACATGCATCCTAAGAAATTGAATATATATAGTATAGGTCGTTAAGAACTTAAGATTAAATAGAAAATGAAGCAAATATATAATATATATAGAAAGAGACTACGCAATGCCTATGGGTGAAAATCAACAGTATATTCGCCCATAGGCTCGACGTCGTCTGATTTTTTCGGACGGTGTGGATTAAAAGACCACCATGGATATAGCATGTCTGTTGCGGTATCGCAAT